CACCTGCAGAGGTCAGAGAAGCACCGAACCGTTTAGGGTCAAGGTCTTGTTGTTGAAGGCCCTTTTTCTCTCACTTCAGCTTACGTCCTAAACCCTAAACCCTAAATCAGGAAACTCTTTCCAGAAGCCTGAGGGCATTTAGAAGGCTGAGGGTTTAAGAGCTTAGGGGCTCGCCTGGGGCGGGGTTGCTGCAGGTTTGGCTAGGGTTATAGGAGTTTCGGGGGCTCTGGCTTTGGGATGAGTTTAGGATTTCAGGCAAAAAATATCTGCTCTGGCTTCCAAAACCCGCACGGTCTCCAGTTCCCCTGCGGGTGCCTGTCAAGGGAATGAACAGGTTCAGATTTGTTACTTGGTGACAAACGGTCATCATAGCGGACATGGAGTGAAGACGACTAAGCACATAAAATTGAACATCTTCCGCTGCAAGATGATGGTCACAAGGTGATAACAGAAACCATATCAATGACGCTCACGATCGCGGTGGTACTGATGGTGATGATGAGACCCTAAACCCTAAACCCTAGGAGCAGGAGGAGGCTGTTCTTGGCAGTTTCCTTGTCACCACTGTTGCCGATAACGTCGTTAAACCGTTAAACCAATGCGTGGCCATCCCTCTCGAGCATCTCATTGCATTCACGCTGGGAAGCCAATGACTCGGATTTCTACATGAGAGATCCTCCAGCCTAAACCTCAAACCCCACGCCCCTAAACCCTTCCCTGAACCCTAAACCGCCTACTCGCAACCTTTAGCCCTGTTAGCTCTAAACCCTAAACCCTAAACCCTAAACCCTAAGCCCTAAACCCTGAACCCTAAACCGTACTACAAAAGTGGGAGCACCAGAAAGGCCAGCCAGCTCCGTTGTAGCCCGACCCACACCGACTGGGCGATGGTCCAGGGAATCCTTGGAGGGCCGTTGAAAGCTCAGGGCGGTTTCGGGTTTAGGGTTTAGGGTTAGGGCTTTAGGCTTTAGGCTTTAAGGTTTAGGGTTTAGGGTTTCGGGTTTCGGGTTTAGGGTTAGGGCTTTAGGGTTTTAAGCTTTAGG